CCAGGATATGCGTTCACCATAGAGTGAGTAGCAGGCTTCCTCTCTCTGTACCAAGCTCCAGTTCTCGCCACCAGTCTCCCTCCATAGGACCCAGCTCCACCAGCCGCGGCGGCCGGTGGCCTCACGTTTGCTCAGGTCGCCCTCCGCCATGCCCCGTCCCACCAGGCGCAGTGGCCGATGCCCCCACGTTTGCTCAGATCGCCCTCGGCCATGCCACGTCCCACCAGGCGCAGTGGCCGATGCCCCCACGCTTGCTCAGGTCGCCCTCCGCCATGCCCCCGTCCCACCCGCCGCGGGGGCTGGTGTCCTCATGTTTGCTCAGGTCGCCCTCCGCCATGCCCCCGTCCCACCCGCCGCGGGGGCTGGTGTCCTCACGTTTGCTCAGGTTGCCCTCCGCCATGCCCCCGCCCCACCCGCCGCGGTGGCCGGCGCCCTTACGTTTGCTCAGGTCGCCCTCCGCCATGCCCCCACCCCACCAGCAGCGGCGGCCGGCGTCCTTACGTTTGCTCAGGTCGCCCTCCGCTTCTCGCGGTATGTGCTCGGCCAGGTCAGTCAGCGAGCCCTCGCCGGGCCGGAACGGCCTGCGACAGCCGGCGCCGGATCGCTTCAGCTCATGGCCGCGCGTCAGCCTGCCAGCGAGAGCGCTGTCCGTGGCGGCAGCCGCCAGGTCCGCACCGACGGCCGCCAGGTCAGCACCGACGGCCGCCAAGGTCAGCACCGACGGCCGCCAGGTCAGCCGACGTCGCCAGGGTTAGCACCGACGGCCGCAGGTTAGCACCGACAGCCGCAGGTTGGCACCGACGGCCGCCAGGTCAGCACCGACGGCCGCCAGGTCAGCACCGACGGTCGCCAGGTTAGCACCGACGGCCGCAGGTTAGCACCGACAGCCGCAGGTTAGCACCGACGGCCGCCAGGTCAGCACCGACAGCTGCCAGGTCATGACCGACGGCCACCAGGTCAGGACCGACTGCAAATTTGAAACGAAGGTAACACAAGACATTATGCAAAATGTGTCATGCCTACCACACTGCCAGAAAGACACCTGAGAGAGAACTAGTCCCAAAATAACACACAAGGCAATGCACAAGTGTTATGTGGAGATCCTTGCAGGATTGCTGACAAAGTGAGCCAGGGGTCCATTGGCCAGGCATCAGATGTTATTTCCAGTGTTGATTGAGGTAAGCTACATGCATGTAAAGACAGTGTCTTATGTCCAAATTATGCAGTCTTTGCCCAGATGTGGCCCTATGTTATACTCAGCTCATCTTGTGCCATTTGGGGCTTCTTGGATGTCCTGAGCATATACCGTGCACTCCCCAAATTATGAAGAGCTGCATGCTCCTAATACCAGCATATTCCCTGACACATTCATCTTCAGTATCCATCCACCTTCTCATATACCATGGCATGAATTTGGTGGGCATAGTTCATATCATGGGTTTGGCCAAACCTAGGGTTAATAATGTCCTGCTTTCATTGCATGTTATCATGCACTAGATGTAAATATTTCTCACACTGTCATAATGCTTGAGGTGTGTGCACATAGTAACCCCAAGACGCATGCACCCAGGCCCCACTTACTAAATGTATGGCATGCATTCATATGAGCGTGTTCATGGCAAAAAGAAATCCAGGTACACATAAAATGGAAAATAAATAAATAATCTATTGTTCTATGACAAGCAAGATATTTCAAATTGCTAAATTTGATTTTCAGTAACATTTTTCAGTTACCTTCCCCCCCCCCCCTCATGTGAAGTTCTGTGTACAACTTGCATGTCACAATCCAAACCAGTTTTGCTGGGTTTGTTAAACAAATAATTTCTGAGCTTATGGCTGGTTATTTTTGAGTGTTGACCATAGCTTACACATTGACTTCAGCCTTATGTCACAAAATGGAGAGACCTCAATAGACATGAGAGGACTTATTGTCTGGCTTATGAAACAACAAAAAACAGTGAGGGATGCTTGCACTAAACTAATCTGTGCAAAGTGGTTAACAGTTAGTAGTCATGATCCGCATCATCAAAGGATTTAATGACTGACTAAAATAACTTCCATCAGTATTGATAGCCCCATGCATTCTGCCCTTAAGTGGATGCATCAAACTGTGGCCGGATGATATGTTGCATCAAATGTTGCTTGTTATTGGATTTCTGTCATGCCTAATACTTTGGCCAGCAGCCATGACATGTGCTTTCTATGCTCACTTAATATTGCTTAGCTTACAATAGTGATTTGCCCAAAAATGATGTCCAGTTATAAGCTATTACACAAGAATACTATTTGCACATTGTTTCTCCCTTTTGTACCCTAACCAAGTACCACCACCACCTCTTCTGACACAAATGCACAGGATCAGCTGCACTTGTAACTGCACTAACATAATGTAAACACTGCCATGGCGATGGCATAGGTGCACAATGCGGCCAATACCATTCCCATAGAGATCAAATGGTAGCATTTATATCAGGATGCCAGAAATACTACCTTACCCCAAGTTTGTTTTAACCTTTTGGTACAAGCAAACCTAGCCTAGACATTCCAGGGGGCCATCAGTGAATTGTACCCAACATGTCCTGATAATGGTTACCAAGATGAGGCTAGATATCACAGCCTGTGCTGCTTGTAGGCCCAATGCCAATCATTGTTCTCATCATGGTCAAATGATGAAAGGATGATTGACATGTTAAGGCTGGTCAATATACAATCATCAACTTTTACAGAATTACCTAGCATAGGGAGGGCAATGGTACAGTGGCAGCTTCCATATTCATAAAATTATAAGCACCAGCTAATTTACACAGTTGTGCTGCTCATGACCTAGTTCTGATGATTGCTTGCATGCATACCAAATGGAAGCACCCCTGATGGCTTAGTTCCTTGACATCAACAGAGAAGGCTTTAGACTGATACATTTGCTTATCACCTGCTCTTGTAAGCTATCTACCATCCTATCTGGCATAAAGACCAATAACCCTCATGGAGATCTTTAGAAGGCATTATTTCGCTATCCAGCAGGTTATCTGAGAACTCAATAAACATGTCAATTGATACTGGTGTTTTAAAACACATTAACTGCAGTTGCCTTCTGGTGTTAAAAGATGCAGGTTTATGGTAGAATGTATGACAATCAGGAAAATAGTGAATGACTTATAGGTTTATAACTGTCATGAATGACTTTGCATCATAGAAATACTTATTCACAAGTTAGTTATACCTAGTTATTGTTTGCAAAATATATTGCTTCCTACTTAATAATTATTTATAGAATCCCTAATTTTGTGGTACAGTTAACTCCTTAGTTTGTGACCAAAATGCAGCCCACTAAGTTAATTATTGGTTTGGCTATTTACTGCATCAATTTGTGAATGGCCAGTGTACCACACAGTTTGCAGTGAAACAACACTGCAAATGCATTGGCCATCCATTTTGATAGGTACATTAATAACAATATTGTTTTATAGATAACAGCTAGCAAAATCATCAGTGTCTTTTAATCTGCTGCAGTTTCAAAAAGAGTTCAGTTCATAAATTGATTCACCCATTCCTATCACAGCAATTTTTCTACCTTCCCTTAAAACAAGAAAAGGGTTGATGAACATTGATTCCCAAAATAGTACAAGCCATCCACCCTAAGAAGTCCTTGACATTAGAGTAGCAAAAATCAGTCCCAGACAAATTTTTACATCAGTTTTCAAACCAGCACCAGGCCTCACCTCTTTTTCAGGGAGATCCATTTCACACGACAGCCAAATCAAGATCATAACTGGGCAGTTACAAGCCACAACACTACACCACACCACTTGTTTCCTGCAACACAATTTTAGCACATTTCACCAGATGTGTTTAAAACTGATGCAACATTGGAATCACGGAACCCGCACCGGACATTCAGGCACAAGGAGAGAAACATGGTGAAGTGCGCCATACTTCGCTGGCTGGAACAGCGCCATTCTGTTTCAAGCTTGTAAAGCAATCACTAGCATCTTACCCCACTGCACGCAGTTCAAAGCTGCTTCTGAGAAATAAGCACACACTTGCCTCCAGCCAACGCCATGTACAGGCAAGATCAACTGCTGATAAAATGGTAACGCGTGGCCGTTTATCCCCGTCCTCGACTCGGTTTCCGTTCCCAACGCATAGTTCAAGTTGCTATCGCTATCGGCTGCTATCGGCGTCTTATCGCGTCGTCGCGTCATGACGTCTCATACTCACCAAAATTGCCGAAATAGTAGTGCTGGTCAGAGCGTAGTGGTGGCCAGGTCCATCTTACTTTTCTGTCGTGGTGGTTGAGCAAACCGAGATTACTAACTACCGATGAACTGCTTCAATGGTGTGATCTTTGTCCACACCCTAAACTGGCCATAATTTTTCATCAGAAATGTATCTGGATGATTCATGGTTATCAACCTTAAAGAAGATTTAAAGGTTCTGCTCTAGGCAACCTTGAAACTGGAATAAATGCAATTTCGCTAACACATAAGCGTATTGCTCACATCTTTTGAGTTCATAAAACTCGGAACAGTTATCTTCATGCCTGTAGGTATCTCTAGAATCGTTGGAGACGTCTACTCCGCAACGTCTGCATGACCTTGAATTTCGATCTGCTATAACTTTGTCTTATAAAGCGTGCCAGCCTTATGTTTTTGGTCATGTCAATTAGAATATCAAGATCTGTTCGCATGTCGATTTCCAGAAGTTCGCTGAATGCGTTCATTTTTCAAATCATTATATATTATATGCCGAACTGCACTGAACCTCGTCTAATGCGGCGTCTCGGTCTTACGTATTTTGCTCACGTAATTAGGAGGTCAATCTCTAGAGCGCGTAACATTTCATGCCAAACAAGGATCCGGTGACTTATTTTTGGATACAAAGGTAAATCTGCGCCTGGTACTAATTTGACGGAGGTAATCTATACTTCTGATGCACATTGTAGAGCACGGCGTTAGTGGCGCACTTGGTGTTTACATTTGGTGGTGCTACTCATTAGGCAGCCTCGTGCTACGCACTTCGGGGATTGTCAGGGAATTCCCTGGGTCGTTTCAAGCCGCGCGTCTACTGGTGTTAGGGTGAGCCACCGAGGTTTGACGGGATTGGAGTGCGTACTCTGATCATCTGAACTAAGCGCACGGTACTTTTGGGTTGTTTGCTAAGTGGGTTGCCCTACACTTGTTAACATTGGTTCATTGCAGTTCCCGAGGGGGGGGGGGGGGGCGGCGCCTCGGACTGCTAGGTGGACAGGCCAGCGATTGCCAGGATGCTTGATTTTCGTTGAAAATCTTTGGAGTGTGCCCCAATGTGGAAGCCTGCATATGTTTTTCCCTGTGTCATCCAGTATGTTTTGGGTGTGATCATGCCCATAGATATAATACTAGGTTGCAAATATGCGTGATGCACAGAACATGTCCTGCTTAGCAGCAACATTGCTGCAACGATTTGCAGGACAGGCATGTGGAAGATGTGGGTACTGAGAGTTTAGTGCCTGGTTTCATCAATTTCAGCAAGTAGCCAAAGATTGAAAGGATTATGATATTGCAAAGGTGAATTCAGACTGTAGCTTCCTCCAAGTGGTTTTTGCTTTTACTCAAGAATAGTATTAAAAATAATTTTACTTTGGTCTAGCTTCAGTTAAAGTGCATGCAGGAATAACATTTAAGTTATCAGTGTTATATGTCCTGGGCAGTGGATGAATTTGTTTTGCAAATGCTACCACATAATGCATCAGTAATGTGTTCAAATCTGCAGTAGGTGGTAATAAAATTATGGGTGTCTCTGTATAAAGAGCAGCCACAGATCAGCCACTTTTAAGGAATAGTACTCACAATCCTGTCCAACATATGTTTGCTGCTGATCTGTTTATTTCCAGAATGCCTTTTCCCATTGACTGTGTTTATGTTTCTCACTGCTGATCTGTTTATTCCTAGAGTTTTGATCATGTAAAAACAGTATGTTTTTTATCCTGTGGTTATTGTTATAAGACAGTATAGCCAGACATGGATACCTCATATTACAAAAGGGCATTGTATAAAAGCTGTCTTCTTTATGGCAGCAAATATTATGGATAATCAAGAAACAGGTATATTTATGCTTTTGCCATCAAGCTTTAATAAAACATTAGGTGCAGGAACTCCAGAGATATGATAATCATGATTTGCCAGCATCATTGCTATAATGGTGTAAGCTGCCTGCAATTCCTCCTTGGAAGTGCTTTTTAAAGAAAGTGGGAAAAGCACCAGAATTTAACCTAACCCAACCTAACCTTACCTTACCTTACCTAACCTAATCTAACCTAACCTCAACTCACCTCATCTCACCTAACCTCACCTCACCTCACCTCACCTCACCTCACCTCACCTCACCTCACCTCACCTCACCTCACCTAGCCTGACATGCCATACCTGACCTGACCTGACCTGATCTGACCTGACCTGACCTAACCTAACCTAACCTAACCTAACCTAACCTAACCTAATCTGTCCTGGCCTAACCTTACCTAACAACTGTCACTGTCCTGACCAACCTCCCTACATAGTCCTCTGCAACCCATGTCTTTTTAGCATCTGTGCCACCAGTGTGATGGAACAGTATTTGACCTACATCTGCTGTCATTATTGTACTTACTTAAGTTAAAGGTGAGGTGATAGGTGCAGTAGAAATCACCCTGTTTTATCATCATTCAGATATCTGATACCTTAAAAACATACATTGATGAACAATTTAACATTACACTATGGATGATTTGTACCAGTGTCCCAATATGGACAACAACCCATAAAACTTTGTAGTATAGTATGGTGTAGCTTCAGCAAGCAAATGTCTACATAATCTTTGGCCCAAGGTTTTTCTTTCATGGGGTGGCCATGCATCCCTGTCTTGTTATGATTATATGAATAATGCACCAGGGTTGGCCTTGCCCAGCTTCCTTTAGCATATACCTTATTTAATTTGGGTGACCAGTTGCATATAGTCAGATATGTTTATGCTGGTCATTAGAGATATCTGGTGAATTTGTGCCACTGGCTAGATATTTCATGTTTTAGCATATGTTGACTGCATATGCATGAATGTGTTTTTCATTTTCAGGAAGCCTAGCTGTCCACAATGGGAAACATCCACACTGTTGGGCCGAATGAAGCCCTCATAGTGTCAGGTATGTTATTTCACATTTTGAATGGAATTTATTGGATCACAGCCGACAAACAACAATCTGCCCTTGTAAAGTGTGACACTATCCTGTCTGGTGGACTGAACGACTGGACTGGGTCATGTTAAGCTTTCAGCCATGTACATGGCACAAAGCAAATTTTCCCCCTGGACTCCTTGAGTCTGAACCAGGCTGCTCAAAATGTAAGTCTAGCTCTCATAGGCAGGACTAAGAAGGCATGTGTTTGTGTGTCTGATCTTATATTTACACACTGCTGAAGATGTGTGAGACCAGTGTATTCCCAACATCCATCAGCAGCAGCTGAGGCTCAGCCTATGACCCACTGAGCCAGTCCTGATCAAAATAATCAGCCCTGAAGTGGGCCCATTTATCATCCATTAAGAAGTCAGCCTGCCTTGTCTTTTTGGCACAAAGAGTGTGCCCAACACCTGTGGCAAACATGATCAGGACATGGTTAGCCTGTACACCAACATGCCAACATGTTGGTGAACTTCAAGCCTGACAGGCAAATGTGTGATGCCTGGCATGCCAACATATCAAGCTGGATCTATCATGCGAGACAGGATTGGAATGATGCAATGCTGCAGGAAAGGAGAGACATCCCAAATGACAGCATCGTGCAGCTACTGACATTTTGTATCACCACAGCACTGTTCCAGCCAGGGATGGGGACTGGGACAAAGCCATATCTTTGGCCTCAAAGTGGGATCTGCAGCCAAGGCCATGACATGGATTGAATGTTGGTGCTGAAGCCAGTGGCTTTGAATTTGGGAACAGTGAAGCAGAAACCAGTGGTTTCATACTTTTTTAATGTGAACCTGAGTGCAAAGCTGGTCACTTTAATCCTTGTACATGCGAAGCCACCGCCAGCAGCGTCGTGATTAGGAAGTGCCAAGCCAAAGCCAAGTCACCATCAGTTCAGCATCACGAGGCCGACGATGAAAACGAATCTGTTGAACAGATTTTTTGCAGCCGATGCCATTTTTACATCTGCTTGAACTGTATTAGATCATAGAACACCACAGGGTTGTCCGAGTTGTTGAGACAAGGCGTTAGCATTACAAATGGAGAGTTTGTCGGGCTGCCGTACTCGTGGCCTATGTTAGGATGCATCGATAACGTTTCAGACAGGTCGTTCCCAGGCGATCGTCGCGTATGAACCAGTTATTAGAATGACTGGCTGCTTTTGGCTTTCAGCCATGTGGCGTCGCTTCTCTGTGTGTGTGTGTGCGCGTCACTGCCTTGAAAGGTTGTGTGGTATATTTTGGTAATGGGACAGGTCGGCTGTTTTTGCGAAGTGAGTCCTCTCCTGCTGCGAAAATTCAACAAGACTAAGCTGATACATTATAAGTGCGCATGTAGGCAAAGCCGGGTTCAAAGTTCAGAACTTGTTCGAAGTCCAAGCCGAAGCCGAAGCAGCTATCCAATGGTCACGTGCCGGAAGCCGAAGCCATCCATGGAAATGGCTCTGAAGCCGAAGCCAAATCCTAAACTTTTGGATAAAAACTGGGAATCTGTGAAGCCAAGGCAGGCTTCTTCCCCACGCCATGCCTCTGGCGTTGACTTGGAGTTTGAAGCCAAGACAATGCCATGAGCTGAATGGTGATGCTGAAGCCAGTGGCTTTGAAGCTGGGAACAGCGAGTGCAAGTAATCCCAGCTAAACGGTTAATGCCGCCAAGAAACCGGGAGAATGACCATATGATCATATTTGTCACGGGGGGCTGCCAACATCGACATGGAATATTTCGAAGGCATAGCGATGTGGACTGTGCCACTCCAGCCATCAGTGTGGCTGTGGTACACCGACGACACAATCGTCCACTGGCAGCACCGAGGAGACGTAACAACATCCTTCGACCACATCAGCAGTTGGTGGCATCCATCTAGCTCGATATGGAGCGTGAGCATAGCAAGCTGCCGTTCTTCGGCGTACAAGTCGAGAGAACCGACAACAGGCTGAGGGCACCGGTGTACCGGAAACCAGCCGCAACCTGTCGTTCCTGGGCCTCCAGTCACGCTTCACGGACTGTCAAGGATGGTGCAGCTAGGAGGGGAGAGATCAACCATCTGAGCGAGATGGGCCTCGGGAGTGGACATCACGTAGGCTTCATACACCGGAAGCCTAAAGAGCGTGCTATACGAGCAGGGTAGCCAAAGGAAAACCAATAGCAACGGAAGAATAACATTACAACTAGGGTTTGTCGTAGAAAGTCAGAATGTGTGGCATACTTATGGACGACATCCGTAAAGAACCGGTTCGGGATTAGAGCAGTTGTCCCGTGTGTTTTGTGCTGTGTTTGTAGATTGAGTGTCACGCCGTGTTGCGCGCAGTGGGTATAAAAGGGTTCGAAAATGCTTCGCGTAACATACTAGCACGTATTATGTATGACATATGTTCATTTGCCAAATGCTGGCAAGGCAAGTATGTTTCAACATCATGAGCTGAGACGGCATTTTCGTGCAATCTCATTAGCCCGGACCAAGTGCAAGGCACAAGTAAAACAGGTGGAATGGTTGATTCAGCCAGCAGTGTGCGGTGCCAATGATTTCGACTTTGACTCATCAGGTGCGTGCACAAAACTTTTCATAAATGACTTTCATTTTAAAAATGCCCATTCTTATTCAAAATAATCGACAAAATTCATTGCGAGTTTTTACTGAGTGCAAGGAAAAGCTGTGCGGACTCCGTCGAAAAGCAGCAAACCAAATTAGTTGAGTCCTGTGTGTCGCTGTTTGACATTGGTGACCCAGTGGGGCAAATGCCATTGGACAAGTGACAGTGGAACAAAAGGACGGCATCTTTTGTGCGGATGTCGGTGACGGCCTGGAGAGTCTGTTTTCAGGGTGTTTAAGAATGCTCTGATGCGTAGTGCGCAGGACGTTCTGTTGACCATGTCTCGCCGGCTTTCACAGGAGGGTGGTGTGGCTCCCAACAGAAGAGGACCATTGTCGGCGGCTGGGCGTGGGCGTGGTGGGCGGTCACAGACGTGCAGTCGCTGAGTCTGGAGGTGAGCTCACACCAAGGACAGGCCAGGTTTGCAGTAATGTGCCCCGACCATTAATGTCCAAATCAAAATTTGCATTCTGATCCTGGTTCTTGCTAGTTCTCTTAGGTCAGTTCAGTATTATAACGTGATTCTTGATGGGTCTCTGATTTGGTTCCAAACCGGTCCCTGGGCTCTTCGTGGATCCAAGACCAGGAACTGGTTCCCAGGAAGAAATCCAAGAAGGAACCAGACACGTGTTTGCTAGCGCGGCATGAGTGTTGCGTCGAAGCGGCAACTCATGCAGTGCATCTCTGTTTCTTTTGCCCTGTTTCACTGTTCCTTTATGCTCGCAGTTGACCGTGGTTGTAATATCTAGGCATACCGACGAGCAAATTAGGAAAATCGTTCCAGAATGCATTACTTGTTCAAACGGAGGCTTCTACAATTCTAGGGGCTGCACTGTTACGCGCGGTCTGAAGCAAGGTTTAGCTATGGGCAGACTATCTTTTCACTTGGCTGCGTTTGAATTATTAGCGACCAGTGACCTGTATGCCCCTGACGCCTCCTCCTATGACGGGCACTGATTGTCAGTGATTGTTGTGCCCCTGACGCCCCCTCCTGTATCGGACACCCACTGCCAGTGACCGGTGTGCCCTTGACGCCCCTCCTGCGACGGACACTGATTACCAGTGACGGGTGTGCCCCTGACGCCCCCTCCTGTGACGGACACTGACTGCCAGTGGCGGGTGTGCCCCTGACGCCCCCTGCTGTGACGGGCACTGACTGCCAGTGACGGGTGTGCCCCTGACGCCCCTGCTGTGACGGACACTGACTGCCAGTGGCGGGTGTGCCTCTGACGCCCCATGCTGTGACGGGCACTACCAGTGACAGGTGTGCCCCTGACGCCCCCTGCTTTGACGCGCACTGACTGCCAGTGACGGGTGTGCACCTGACGTCCCCTGCTGTGACAGACACTGACTGCCAGTGACGGGTGTGCCCCTGACTCCCCCTCCTGTTGACGGGCACTGACTGCCAGTGACGGATGTGCCCCTGACGCCCCCTGCTGTGACGGACAGTGACTGCCAGTGGTGGCTGTGCCCCTGACTGGCACGGGCACTGTGACGGGCATTGACTGCCAGTGACGGGTGTGCCCCTGACGCCCCCTCCTGTGACGGGCACTGGCTGCCAGTGACCGGAGCGCCCCCTTCGCAGACGATGACGCTCAACCCGATATGCGAGCATGTGGAGACGGCCCAGGGCGTGCCCCTGACCGTCACCGGCGTGGCCCAGTGCAAGATCATCAAGCAGGACGAGATATTGAAGACGGCCTCCGAGCAGTTCCTAGGCAAGACCGTGCACGACATCCAGCTGACCATCCTGCAGACGCTCGAGGGACACCTCCGCGCAATCCTCGGTGAGGGCGCGCCATTCTCGGACGCTGGCTCGGTGGTCAGACGTAGCTCTACTAAGAGGGCCTCAGGCGTGCCGTCAGCTGTGTTTTGGTGCCGTCGAAATTTGGTCGCATGACCCGGATAACTTGTGAATATGATGTGACCATAGAACCTAGTGACTACTACTGCGAAATTTGGTCGCCTGAGTTATTTGATAGCGTGTCACTCATCGCGCGTGAAGTCCCTGATCTTTACAGTACCACTGAGATGGCAAGGCAGTGTCTTTTTTTGTAATTGTAACAACTGCTTGCACGCTTGCCTGTTGTGCGGTCTGTAAAAAGGAGACATTTGTCTGGCCGATGTTTTGCAGTTGGATGCATGCCCCTAGCTGCTCTGGGTGCCAAGATATGGCTGAAAACATGAAAACCGGCCGAAAACGTTGGTTGTGTGCGCGTGATATGTGGCATCTGCGACCGTGCGGCTGGCACCAGGCTATAACCCCTTCATTCCGTGTTCCCTTTTATATGCATGTAATATGCATTCTTATGCTTTCTATTCCCTTTCACATGCATGCCACTCCCAAGTCGCTGCGTGTCTGGGAGGCCGAGATAGGGCACAAAGCGTAGAAATGCGTCAAAGGCGGCGCATCCATCTTGCCTGCTCGCGTGTGCCTGTCACGTGGCCGTCCGACCGCACACTTGGGACCGCGCGATATTCGGTTCAGTGGCCTATCGCAGCATGCCAGTGCCGTGCTCCGTGCTCTGGGTGTCGAGATGTGGCGTAAAACGTAAGTCCGTCGAAATTGGCGGCGTGCATATTCACAGCCAGTGTGCGTGTTACACCCGGCACACGCGACAGCACAGTGAGCACCATGCGATTGCCGGTTCGCTGGCCTATCGAAGGGTGCCACTCCCGCGCTGCTCCAACTGCTGTCGATGTCGAGATGTCGGCGTGAAATGGCGTAATCGGTCGGCAGCGGTGAAATAGTGCAGCCAGTCACGTGCGCAGATGGCCGTCAGACCTGCAAAACACGCCAGCGGCTGTCGGAAGCGTCATTATTTTTTCCAGTATAACAAAGTTATGAGAGCTCGCTCATTGGCTGTACGGCTCAACCACTAAAGTGATGATCGCGCGGACGAGCCCATTTCCCACAAATGAGGGGAGTTTGGAGGCGATGTCTTGGCGACTGTTATCCGGTCCTATCACGTCTTTCTTCGCCAACGGGGAGCCATCGACGGCGTTTTCATTTGGCGTGGGAGATGTTAAGACTCGCAGCGTACCCAGTCTCGAACAACAACAAGCTCGCTCACTTCATGCAGGTTCCCTTGAGCGTCATAACCCTCCGCAATTTTGGGATTTGTCAGCATTTTGGGTGAAGTAGGTCATGCAGAGGTTGCTGGATATCTGGTTGGCGACCTGATACTACCCGAGCTATATGTGTCTTCAAAGGTCGGCAATGGAGGCCAGGGAGGGTATTACAAGCCTCCGTGCGCCAACGCTTGCCGTTTTAATGAGTCCCATGTTCATATCGATGGCGCTTGCATCAAACCCACTTCAGACGGTGCGGTTAATTTACGATATCCACGGACGAGTCCGCGCCTCTGGCAGGAACTATGCACGCATGTATATATGCACGCGAATGAGCGAGCTCTTTTGGATCAAGTAGGACTCGTTTCTGTTCTTCTGCGGGTAGGTCGACAATTAAATTGTTTTGTTTTGTTTTATGTCAGGACGCGGTAAACGGCATGATGATTTAAATGTAACCGAAGAATTGATGCGTAAGTCATAAGACTTCAACCGGGGCACATCTCCCAAACGTAGAAGCAAAACCGGAGATAGCTGCCGGACATCACGTGCTAATAGCGGGTCTCCGCCACGGCGCCGGCCGCCGCTGCCGCCACCTCATGCCGCGGTTTGAACGCTTTGGTATTGTGGTCCTGGAAGCACTCCGTGAGCACTCGACCGTCGTCGGTGGTGTTCATTCTGTGCATTGGTATGTGTTTGGTGTGGGTGCTCGAAATTGATCGAACCGGGGACCCAATAGTCGTGTCGTGCTGAAAGAAATTTCTACTGCGAGGTATCGAAAAAGTGGGCAAAAGAGGGCGAAATGATTAATTGTTTCACACCAGTGACCACAGACACAGTGAGGACTTTATGTAGTGTTGTGGGGATTGGCTTGTCTGTATGCGCGCGGCCAGTCACACGTGGCCAGACCCGCCTCTTCGAAATACGGTGCGGCTTCTTATCACACCTCGACACTTTTGAATATAGTTCAGACCATTGTCATCGCCTAGTTTATAAGCATTTACTCAAGGTTTCCGCCAGTTGGCTCTCCTACCGCCGTCAGCTGGCATGGAGTCCTGATAAGGAGTGGATGATGGTTGGCTTTATGCCACGTCATAGTCCGAATCGTTTCCTTGCTTTTGCTGGAATTTGAACAAGGGTTTTCTAATACAGTTCAGTGTTCTACCAACTGAGATAACTGAAAAGGAGTTATCCTCTTCTTGTCCTTCCCGGTCAGTTCAGCTGTTAGAACGCTGGACTCTCGATCAGAAGATGTTTTGAATGCCAGCAATGCCAAGAACAGAATTGGGCTGATGACGGCTGGAGGATTAACTGGCCGAAACGTGTAAATGCTAATACACCAGGCGAGGACAATGGTCCGACCAGTACTAACTCCGTGGTGCTAACGTCTCGTCTCGATCCTTCTGTAAGATAACTGCGAATGGGGCTGGGATCCTTACCTTCCCCGTCGTAAAGCCCGGTAGTCCTCCCCCCCACCCCCCCCCCCCCCCCACCCCCACCCCCACCCCGTTTCAAACTCTGGCTACGCCCGTGAGGTGAGTGGATGGTAAGATGCGTCCAATTCCTGCATTCTAATATACGCTTGGCAGTTTGCCTCGTAATCTGGCCGCAATGGCACGCGGTCGGCGATGGCTTGTGAGTAGCGCGATGTATGTTTGATGGCTATGATGAGTGTGTTAAATACGAGGTTCATGTAGAGTTGCACGCATGTAAAGCTTCTACCAAAGACGTGGACTCGTGCGTGGATATCGTGAATTAAACCGCACCGTTCGAGGTGGGTTTGATGCAACCCCCGTCGGCATGAACATGGGAATCATTGAAACGGCGAGCGTTGGCGTTGGCGTAGTGCGGGTAGTGTCAGGTCACGAACCAGATACCCATCAATCTCTGTGTGACCTACTACGCCCAAAATGTTGGTAAATCGCAAAATTACGAAGGTACATGCCACTTAAGGGTACTGAATTAAAAATTATGGAATGAGCGAGCTTGTTATTATTTGAAATAGGGTACACTGAGAGCCTCAGGACCCCCGATGCCAAATGAAAACGCCGCCAAATGACCCCCGCCGGCGAAGAGAGATGTCAAAGGGCCGGTCGGAAATCGGTGAAACACCGCCTAAAAAAGAATCCGATATGTGCAAATGGACTTGGTAGTGGTTGAACCGCACAGTTATTGAGCGAGCTCTCATAGCTGCCTAGTACTGGGAAAAATTGCGATGCCTTGCGGCCTGCTTCACCTGGACTTCCCGGGCTTAGGTGGCGGAACGGTTAAAGCCGCTGCACTTAATGCCCGCTGCAGGAATCTGTCCTCGTCCCCGGTTTCCAGTAGGAGCGGCAACGCCAGTGCTTCCGGCCGTGGCGCGCGTCGATAGTGTCTGACAATTCCCCGTTACCGGCGGCCAGGGACGCTGACCGTGGAGGAGATCTTCAAGGACCGAGACCAGTTCGCGGCGCTGGTGCGCGAGGTGGCCGCGCCCGACGTCGGCCGCATGGGCATCGAGATTCTCAGCTTCACCATCAAGGACGTGTACGACACCGTCGAGTACCTGTCGTCGCTGGGCCGCACGCGGACGGCGGCCGTGAAGCGCGACGCCAACACGGGCGTGGCCATGGCCAGCAGGGACGCCGGCATCCGGGTCAGTCAGTGCCCCCCCCCCCCCCCACACACACACCCCGTCGTCACGCTCCGGCTTGGCGGTGACCTTTAGTTAATGGTAAGGCGGAACGGATTGTCAAGCTGGAGCTGCCTCGGTGCGCCGTTAGTTATATACTTGCTGGACATCCCGGTGCATTCATCAATGACTACGGCTTAAAGCGCCCGTCGTTTCTCAGCTTGGCCGTGACCATTAGTTCATGGATAGGCGGAACGCATTGTCAAGCTGGAGCTGTCTCGGTGCGCCGTTAGCTATATGCCTGCTGGACATTCTGGTGCATTCAGCAATGACTACGGCTTAAAGCGCCCGTCGTTTTTAGCGACGTGCTTAGGGCAAGGTCCAGGGAGAGGACATTGTAGGGAAGAGTTTAGGAAAGGACATTTGCTTGCGCTTGGCATGCGTGCATGAATGCAGACGGTTGGGAACGTTAAGCGTTGGCGTCACGCGGTGACCCAGCGCGACGCGGGGTGATGACCGGAGCGGGCCGGTTTGCAGGAGGCCGAGTGTGAGCGGGCCGCCATGGACGTCAAGTACAGCACCGACACCAAGATCGAGGACAACACCAAGTCGTTCAAGCTGCAGAAGGCCCAGTTTGACCGCGAGGTCAACACAGCGGTGCGTAGTTCCGTTAGTGTGACATAATTTTGAAGAGTCTGGGCCGTTGGTTGACACACGTGGGCACCGTGTCGCCTCATGATTCTGTAAATGAGCGGGTTTCCTTGGATCAGACTCGTTCGTGCGCCCCAACCAGCTGGTCCATAGTGCAATGTCCAATGAACAGATAAACAGGGATTTCCATGTTTAGATGTCCGTCATTGCACGTAGGCGATGTATACCTATGTATGTGAAGCGATGCGCTATTGCTGGTGGCTGCCGCTGGCGGCTGGCGGGGAAAGTCTCGGCGGATGGCTGGCGCGGCGCGTGGCCGGCAGCGAGGCGCGCGGGGCGGTGACGTGTCCGCCTGTGTTGCCCTCAGCGCGCCGAGGCCCAGCTCGCCTACGAGCTGCAGGAGGCCAAGGAGAAGCAGAAGATACGGAACGAGGAGATCGCCATCGACATCATCGAGCGCAAGAAGCAGATCGAGGTACGACGGCCGGCGGTCGGCGCGGCCTCCGCCTGGCTCTGCGCCGACTAGTCCGCCTCGCTGTGGATACGGTGCGGTGGACGTCACGCCACGCTCCGCACCGCGGCACTCTGAGATGGCGGCCGTCTGTTCCGCCGCTGGAGATCCGAGAGGCCCCGGCTGCTGTTGGCCCGGACTCCTTCGATCTCGGACGAGAGGCCCCTGAGAGGGCTCTCCTCTCCCAGGGACTGATCTAGTGCGCGATGAAGCGCCACATTCGATGTCCGGTGCGCCCCATGTCGCCGACACAGTGCTCGTGGTTACTTAGGTGACGTGAACGGATCGATGGCTTGAGCGATCACTTCTGACAGCAGGCGCTCCGAATACGCACATCGCTCCTGAACGTTTCTACCGCCTCAGAGCATTGGCAACACATTTGGTATAATCTTGCATCTATGTGAATGATGATTTCCTTGCCGATAACCTCATGATTGTTCGAGATTTGGCATCACTCTAGCAAGCCGAGCCCCCGCAGATCCGAATGGATCGGAGGTCGCGGCCATGTGTCGGTTCTCGGTGCTGTCTGTGTATGCCCTCCCCGTGGATCTCTGGCGCCAGCCTGGCTCGCCGACGGGCCGCTGCTGTACGACACTCCTCGTCTGACCGCCGTGGCGCTCTCTGCCGCCGCCCAGGTGGAGGAGCAGGAGATACAGAGGAAGAACAAGGAGCTGATGGGCACAGTCAAGCTGCCAGCCGAGGCCGAGAGCTACAAACTGGAGGCGCTGGCCGAGGGAAAACGGTGAGCCGGCGACCAGTGACGTGGTGATGTGATGATACGGGCGAGATCTGTGCGAATGGGTTGTGTCGGAGCTAGCAAGGAATCTGTGTATGAGGCGAGGCTGCTGTCTGGAGGGAACCGTTGTGTTCGTAGCACTGATAAGCTGCTGTGCTTATCTAAGAGGCGATAGCTCAGTACTATTCCAGGCAGTTAAGCAAGTGTAAGCCTGTTGCCACCTTTCACATGGCAGGTGAGATGTAGTTGCCGCACCGTTTCAGCAACCATGTAGCGTGCAACGTCTCGCAAGTTAGAGTCCTCAACTGCGACGCAGTACCGTAACAAACGTCGGATCCCGGAGCGCGCTTCTAGACTGTACCGTCTCACGCGTCCGAGTCCATCCTCGGCTTTCGGACCACTCTGAACCGGGCGTTCAAGCGCCGCGTCCAGCTGCGCCGCCGTGCCGTCTCACGCGGTTCTGCCCGCCCTCAGCTTCCAGACTGTGGAGCTGGCCAGGGCGGAGGCGGAGAACATCAAGCTGGTGGGCACGTCCGAGGCAGTCTCCATTGAGGCTGTGGGCCGCGCCGACGCCGAGCGCATGCGCATGAAGGCAGCCGCCTACCGCCAGTACGGAGACGCCGCCATGGTCTCCATGGTGCTGGAGGCCCTGCCCAAGGTAGGCGCGCTCGGCCGGCGGCGGCTCCGGCGCTACTCGCGGTGTGAGGGGTCTTGGGCGTGTGGATGGCGTTGGCGGTGACGGGTAGCAGGGTGATGGGTGATGGACAGTGTAAGGTCGGGCTCCAGTGTTGTCGCGGTCAGTTGTCGCGGTGCTTCCGTGTGCGAGGCGATATCGCGTGACGTCATATCTCCGGACTGACCCATCGGGCGACCGGAGGCAGTGCCAGCGGCGCTTATCACGCGCCACCCCAACCCGCTGTTGATATATCCATGTGCGTGCGCCGTTTTTGGCACGGAGATGGGTCGCCCGGTTTGCGAAGCGTAAAGACGTGTTGCCAAGCTGGGTGTGCCGTAGCTGAATATTTTGTACGTGGTTGGCCGCCGGCTCATGCCGACGGTATGGGACAGGCCTCACGTGCTCCAGTGGGTCGTATTACCTCGCGTGCTTCATTGGGTCGCCTTGCGTCGCGTGCTCCAGCGGGTCGCTTTGTCTCGTGTGCTCCAGTGGGTCGCCTTGTGTGGCGTGGTCCAGTGGGTCACCTTGCGTCGCGTGTTCCAGTGGGTTGCCTTGCGTCGGGTGCCCCAGTGGGTCACCTTGTCTCTCCTGCTCCAGTAGGCCGCCTTGCCTCGCGTGCTCCAATGGGCCACCTTGCCCCGCGTGCTCCAGTGGGCCGCCTTGCCTCGTGTGATCCAGTGGGTCGCCTTGCGTCGGGTGCTCCAGTGGGTCACTTTGCCTCGCTTGCTCCAGTGGGTCGCCTTGCCTCGCGTGCTCCAGTGGGTCACCTTGCCTCGCGTGCTCCAGTGGGTCGCCTTGCCTTGCCACCGCTTCACCTGCTCGGTGTCCGGTACACACTACACACATCTACCGAGTTGCATTGCAAATTTACTGCTGCAGTCAAACAGGGTTCTTTCTACGTTATCCGGTGGTCAAAGGAGTGAAGTTGACCCTCCAGCATGCGACGTTGCCTCTTCTCGGTTCTTGAAAACGAAGAAATTAATCGACTTGCCGATGCCTCGAACCACGGCCGCAGTTGGCTCCCCCAGCACTGGAAAAAGGCTAATGGGAAAGGGTTGTAAGCACGGAGCATGGATGGGTGGCGGCGAGAGGGGATGCTACATCGGTAGAAAGAGTGGCGTTACTGGAGCCGCTCGCATGGGCTTACATGGCTGGGCGGTGGCGTGTCAGTCTCTGCTCCTTCTTCTCTGCTGTAGGGCCCGACGTCTTCCTGGTTTTCCGCTGCTCGTTGGCCAACTCCCGTTCCTCCCCGTCGCTGCTCGTTTGCCAGCTCTCTTTCTCCGCTTGCCTGCGTGGCCGCCTCGCCGCACGTCCGCCATCCGTGTCGGCCTCCGTGCTCATGTGCCACTGATTTCCTCGTCCCCCGACACGTCCTCACCACCGATGCGACCGCCGCTCCTCCCCGCGCTGGGCTCCCACGACTGCTCCCCCCTATCTCGGTCCTTTCCTTTGCCCGGCGGTTACCGACACTGTCCTGACAACTGAGGGTGGGCTCTCCGCATTCGCCGCCTCAGACTATTTTGTTTTCCCCAATCAGGCCCGGTCGCCAGTTTTCTCGGTCAGACTCTGGTCTGGATTGGAAGCAGCTGCGCTGGGGTGGTGTTTGCGGTGTGGAGTGACGCAGAATTTGAACATCCTGGTCCTGACCACAGGACGCGCCGACCATTCAAAGCTACATATACCTGCACTTGATGCGAAAAAGTGGAACCGCGTTGCAAACGTTTTGCTACTCCAATGGCGATGCATTTGTGGACGGTGTCTTGTATCGATCCGGAAGGGCATCGCCTACCCTTCCGACGGAATTTGGTTCTTGCGACGATGGTCCATTTTCTAGTGCGTACTGTCCTACCACGTGTATTTAGTCAGCTTAAGTATATCGCCGTCCCTTGCTGTTTTCTTGAGACAGGCTGTGCTGATATTTCTGGTCGGCGATGGGGTGCGGCGGCGCTCATCTCCATCTCGCAGCGCTGATTCCCTTGCTGCCGCTCTGAGAAGTGGCTGTTTGTGACTGGTCTCTGACTCCGCGTCTCGCCGCGCTGACTGTGTTGGTGCTGCCCCGATGTGTGGCTGCTTCCGTGACTGGCCGCTTACTCCGCGTCTCGTCGCGCTGACTCTGTTGCCGCTGCTCCGATGTGTGGCTGCCTCCGTGACTGACCGCTGACTGTTGGTGCTGCTCCGATGTGTGGCTGCCTCCGTGACTGACCGCTGACTCCGCGTCTCGTCACGCTGACTCTGTGGCTGCTGCTCCGATGTGTGGCTGCCTCTGTGCCTGGTCGCTGACTCCGCGCCTCGCCGCGCAGATCGCGGCCGAGATCGCCGCGCCGCTCTCCAAGGTGGACGAGATGGTGCTGCTGGGCGGCGAGAGCCAGCTGACCTCGGAGCTGACGCGTCTCGTCGGCCAGGTGCCGCCGGCCGTCAGCGCCCTCACCGGGGTCGACCTCTCGAAGGTGGGTGGCGAGCGGCCTGACCTGACGCCAGTGACGAGGGCGCCAGCGTAGCGTCCTCACAAGGTGTACCGCTGACGGGCCCACTGTACGGCGCCTCGCCGGCGCAGGGGCCCAACTTCGAGCGGGCGAGTCACGCCGTGTTTGTGGCGACGGTCTGCCCGGTTGCCGGCCGGCCGTGCGCGGCCGGTCGTCCGGCGCCGGCCAGCGTGCTGACCGTCTGTCCTGCTTCCAGGTGCTGAGCCGCGTGCCGGGCGCCGAGGTCAAGGCGTAGGCGGCCGGACAGCTGGACAGCCGCCCGGCTGGGGTGGGCCGCGCCGCGGCCGCCGGCGCCGCCCAGCCGCACAGCCGCCCCTCGACCCCCGCTGGGGCCGCGCCGGCCAGGCGGGCCTCCGGCGCCGCGTCGGATGTGTGCGTGGCATCATGCGAGCTTGTCGGATGGGTGGAGACAATGCTGATGGTCCGTAAACGCTTCGGGCCTGCGCGCCGCTAAATGGTAGTCATTGGATCTATTTGCATGTGGGTCTGTTCTGCGCGCCCGCCAGGTGCCAAGGGTACGTTCGGGTGGCCTCTCGTTTAGCTTGTATAGTCAGCGTTGTCTGTACATCATTACCAGTATGTGCTGAGCCGAAAAGGGGTCACCGCGCATTTAACCGCTTTTGCCATGTAGAGGCGTCCAGAAATAGACTAGTAGTTGTAGCAGGGGTCACCTCATGGAGCTGGGAGATCGCAGAGCGTTTTGAAGGGAGCTGGGTCTCAGCCTTCCATTCGAAACGCTTTGTACGATTTGCGTTTGTCAGCGGAGTTCAGCTGGAGGTCTGGCGTTTTTTGGTGTGTACCACCTAACTGATGTGGTAGGAGCAGCGGCGTCGCGTGCGCTCTCTGACATGCCCTCCGTGGTCGCGCGACCGCTCGCCAGTATCATCAGTGCCGCAACGAAGGCCAGTGTGTGTGTGTGTCAGCGGCCGTGGCCGCGTCGCTGCAGCCGCCCGCACGTGCCAGCGCCCAGGCGTCTCGTCGCTGCCTTGCACCACCGCGTTCGGAATGTTTTACACCCCGATGTGGTGTCGCCGTCTTTGTGTGTGGGTGGCGCTGTAGCCTAGGCCTCGGTGTGCGAGTGTACAACGGTTCGAGCCACGCGCGACTCAAACTCGGCCGGTGCGGAGTAGCGACTGTGACGAGGCACGTTCTGGTATGTTCAGCGGCAGTACGTCTCCTGGCCTTGAGGAGTCTGGTGTCTGTGGATTTATCCTGTAATTTCCCCCGGTATCACATGTTTGTCTCCGTGCTTTATGCTCTTTTTTCACGTGATCAGATATCACACCCGAATGCTTCGAAAATATTGCCTTTGCGGCAGGAGTGCATCTCACCACCAAGACACCTCATGGTCGTCGGGTCCAACTGGAAGGCGGATGTCACTTCTGCGCCTGTGTGGGCGATTCCAGCGTGAGCTATGCCCGTTCCTACTGCCAGGGTTTTGGCGTCTGTGTGCGGATCTGCCCTGCGCGCTCAACATCGTGCATGATCCGCTCTGATCACGTGACCTGACTGACTTGCCTCACAGCTTCTGTCCGAGAACGTCTACGTCCTTGGCAATGGTTGTCTTATACGTGCCGTCTCTCTTGGCGCTTCTGTACTCCACTGCGGGTGTACCTCACCGCGGGAGTATTTCGGGAGCGCCGGTGCGTTAGCCTCGCGCGTGCCTTTTCTTGTTTGGCACTTCTGCGCTCCGCTGCGGACTTATTTCGGGAGCACCAATGCGTTGGCGTCATCCGCGCCTCCGTATTGATATGAATCTGACTAGTACTGTCGCTGCGCCCTGTATTGAGTGGCTTACCTTCTGACCAACGACGCTATATCGCACCTCATCTCGCAGGGCCGTGCTATATGCGCGTCCACGCGCCCGTGTTTTGTTTTTATCTCGAGACGTGAGTTCAAGTTTCCGTTCCCAGCCATCCGTGTCCAGCCTGTCAGTGAATCCCATTATGACGTATTGGCACCCACTCGTCGCGTTCTCTACGCGGTCCGTGCGCAGCGTAGGGGCGGGGCGGGGGTGGCCGGGCCGCCTCGCTGTGGCGCCTCTCGAGCCTCGTCTTGCCCGCCCTGGTGTGTGACGATGCGGCTTCCCCCGCAATACGTTTATTTGTATGTTGTGTTCAACCCCGCCGCTTGTCACCATTATGTTCAATCCCGCGTACTGGCCGCGAATACACGTTGGCTCAGCTCGGCGGCCTACCTTCCGGAAGGGGACGGCGGTGAACATCGGAGCTAGGTGAACGGACGGTTGGGCGCATTAGTTAGCGATTTATGGTCACCCACCAGGTCTGCAGCGGACCTATGCCAGCTGGCAAGCCTTACACGACAGGCGACGATTCTAGTCCGCTTGACAACCATCTTACATTTGGCTGCTCGCGGGCGAAGGACATCAGAGTCCGTCTTCATTTGGCTCGATGCCGGCATGCGGCGTTGAATGCACGATGAGTCTGTTTCCTGGCGGTAGAGACTGCTCTGAGTGCACAGACGTTTTGGTTACTGGGGGATGGCCGCTGCTAAAAGAGGAACGTCAACAGCCGGCGGCGGGGACATTGGTCTCGCTCCTACAGCGTTACTCGCTCTTATCATCTAGATAAGATCGACTCTGCGCTAGGTGAGGTCGGCTCCACCGCTGCCACCCCGGCAACCGATGGTGACCCGCGGTCACCAGCCGCAGTCACCAGCCGCGCTCGCCAGCCGCGGTCACCAGCCGCGGTCACCAGACGCAGGCACTAGCTGCGGTCACATGCCGCGGTCGCTAGCCGGGCATGGGAGGGACAGCCTCTGCTGAGGCCACGACCGGGGACGCCACCGCCCCTGCCATGACCGCCCGTGGAAACAGGGGGTGCCGCGTTCAAGCTGGCCACCGACGAACTCGCCGTCTGAGGTTGGATTCCCTACGGCACCCGTCCTGCCAGGGCGAGGCAGGCGGTGCCACACAGCCTCAGCTGCTGTTCGAGTGCGCTGCACAGCACTCGACACCATGCTCTGGAGCTCAAGCGTGCCAACGACGCTCGGACGGAAGGTGGGCGGCTGCGACACGAACGGCCTGTGCGGGTCGTGCCTGCCCCATCCTTCCCCGCGGCCCACGGGCGGTCGTTTCACGACAGGTCGCCGACTCAACCATGTTCGTTGCATGCTTCCGATGAGGTCGTGCCGCGCAATAGCAGGGTGGTGAGGTGAGCGGACGCGCCCTAAAACCCCAAATCATCATCACGAGGTGAGCGGACTGTAACGCCGCGTACCAGCCATGCGTCGTACAGGTGAGATTGTGAAATCGCATGATTCATGATGATAACTTTTCCTTTCCGACGATTTTACTGTCGCGTTACCACCATGATCAAGCACACGCACAGATATCGGCCGTCCAGCAGCTGATGTGCGTCCGATCAGAACAGGGCGGTCTGGTTCGTTTCTCATCGTCATCACGCTCCTAACGTGTTGAAAGTCCAGTAGTTTCTTTTGTGTTTAATGCAGAGGGATAAACCACCACAACGGCGCGGCACGCCACCGCTTCCAACACCTCTCCCGCCAACAAAATAGCCACACAGTGATAGGCGGCGAGGGAGACCGCCGCCGGCTACGTACGGGACGCGGCGTCCGCCCGGCAGCGGTCACAACAGCCGCGCCAGCGCGCTGCCGGCGCCGCCGCCGCCCACAGCCTCGCGCTAGACGCGGACAAGACAAGGCAAACGAGCACAGCTACAGACACCGAACAGCGCCGCTGGCCGACCGGCCCGGCCGGCCGCAGAGCGCCACACCGCGACAAAAGCGCGCGCCCACATGACTCGCGAGCCGCGCGGCCGGTCAGTCTCCCCCGGGTCGCGGCGCTCACGTAAAACTAGCCCATGCTGAACTGCCGGCGCCGCCGGCACAAGCTCGCCGGTGCCGCGACGATTCCGTTTCGCGAGCGACCGCCTTCGAGACGGCGCCCCCGCTCACCACCCGGACAGCCTGTGATATCGGCAGTGCATGCGACGACGCGATCTAAGCAGCACAGTGGCCTTATGCTAAACAACCGCACCGGTCGCCGAGACGCGACACACCCACAAGTCCTGTGGCCAACACCTCCGCGTCGCCTCGACGGCTAGGCCGACAGCAGCCACACGCGCGAAACGATGGGATACGATTGCACAGAGTACGCGGGGCGGCGACGACCCGTCACAAGGTCAGGATGTCCGTGCGTTGGCTTCAATAACAACAGTATCCACTGAAATATGGCTCAGAAAACGTGCCGGAAAATGCAGGCGTGTGCAAGCTAACTACCACCCGATATTGGATGACCTTTAAGAAAGAAGTACTGTAAAGTAACATGCTTATTCTACCTTAAAAACTAACAGCCCCAGTGGCTATAACAAACAACGTGGCGAATGGGAGCGGCCTAGACAAGCCCGATAGTTCGCCGCCTATGCAACACAGAGCGGGACACGAGGCCTCGAGTGACTAGGTTACAGCACACACTCCACGGCGGACGCCTGCCGCCGCCGTTTGATTCCACCGCAGCCCTCACAAAGGGCTCGCACAAAAATATATACCAACTACGCACCAGCACGTCACCTCCGCACGCGCGTCTACGGTTCAGTTTGAGCAGCTCTAACTACAGACCAGCACAACCACAATGCGTGCGCCCGGCACTCAGTACCCGTGACATTCGCTCCGCCCCGCGAGCCCTTCGATCTCCGCAGCGCGACTGCAGCGCCTCTGATGGTGACCTCCGCCTCTGCCTCCAATCGCGGCCCGGTGTCGTCATCGTCTCGTACACATTGGTCAACGATCCCTGAGTCACGCCCACAACCCGCAGGCATCCTCCAATCAGCGAGGACCCCCTACGACCGCTGACCAATTAGTGCCGAGCCGCCGCAACCGCATTCCAATGAGCGTCGAGCCGCCGAGACAGTGGGCCAATCAGCGTTGAGTAAACGCAACAGGTCACTAATCACCGCCCAGTCACCGCGACAACTAACCGACCGTCCGCAGTAGACCAGAGCAAGACGAGGTTCAACTGCAGTCGCGCAGACGCCAGGACTCGTCCGCCGGGCCCACGCACGCTCCTCGGTGCTCTCGGCGCCGGCCAGGTGCTGCCCCGCCCGGCGGCGGGGCGCTCTAGCCCAGCTCGCCGGTCTCCGTGTGGGTGAGGGCCGGGTCGGAGCCGCTCGAGCCCGTCCTGTAGCGTTCCAGCGTGCGCTGCACATACTCGGGCAGATGTCCCGCGACGCGGTGCTCTGCGGGCGGACAGGCGGC